CGTGGTGCGCGTGCACGGTGCACTCCCCTAATCTGATACTGTGGGCGATATTTTCAGCGCCCCCAAACCATAAAATTTGACGACGCTGATTGGCGAAATATAAACTTTTTTGCATAGCAACCGGGGAACCATTGGCTTAAATTCCAGCACTGGGGCTGAGCGAACTGGCGCCCTGAGAAGACAGCCTATTGGCTATACTACTACACCAACATGATAAAAGTAACGAAAGTGAATGCAAATATCATTCTGGTGAGTTCAAAACACTTTTCAAAGTAAAACAATTATTAGCATATAATTAACACAGATTATTTTTCAAAATGATAAATTATAATATATATTAAAAAAACAGACAGACAGGTCGGAGGGAGGGCGGCGCCCCAGCGCCCTCTATGGGCGAGCCGCCCCTGCTGTACATCCAAAAAATAACTTTCACACCACAAAATCAGTTTGTCGTTAATAACTTCTGCTAAAGTTAACACAGTCTCATCCCAAATCGTCATATAACTGACGTTTTGGGACGTATTTTGACCATACGTCAATATCCGCCTTTTTAGGGCCCCCTTAAACGTCGGTAGATGGCGATCCCGGGCCGTCATACAACTGACGCTTTACCTTTAACGTCAGTTAGGTGACGGGTTAGGTTTAGGGTTAAGTTTAGGTATTGGGTAGAGTTAGGATCCCATAACCTCATCTACCGACGTTTAAGGGGGCCCTAAAAAGGCGAATATTGACGTATGGTCAAAAGACGTCCCAAAACGTCAGTTATATGACGATTTGGGATGAGACCGGGTTGCTAAAGTTGAAAATGTCACGCTTCTTTTCCACAGATAGAGAGAGAATCCTATTGGGCATGTACAGATTAAGTGTCATCACTCTAGCTTGTTTCTGATTGGAGGAATTGAGTGTGGTACAATTGCCCCCTGTTACAATTGCCCCCGGTCTCCCCAGTGCTTCGTCAAAGTGATCAAAGTATAGTGTATGCTTTCGAATCAGTACTGTGATGTCATACACCAATCGTCTGTACACTGCAGTATAGTGCTTCGTCAAGGTGATCAAAGTATACGCTTTCGAATCAGTACTGTGATGTCATACACCCAGGGATGTAATGGAGGCTAAATGCACAAAAGCCGTTTACGCACCTCCCAGTATTCGGGAATTGCGTTTACCCACCTCCAAAGTGCGTTTATCCACCTTTCAATTGCGTTTATCCACCTCTAAATATCCTAGTTCCTAAGACATTTTAAATTAAGCTTATGTCGTTAATTTAGTTTCTTTAATTTAGTTAATTTAGTATAGGTTGTTAAACCTAAGACGAACTTTTTCACTCATTAAGACGGTCGCCTGCCACCACCTACTGGCGGTTTAGTGTTAAATGTTTAAAAGTAGCATCATTCTTTCTTATATGTAAATTAAAATCAATTTCATAACATTATTTCATGCAATTGTAATTTTTCAGTGTAAATGATTTAATTTGATCAACCCCTAGGGTAACAGCCCTATGGTGTCTTATTATTAGAAATAATTGAATTTATTGATCAAATTTAGGAATTTAAAATGAAATATGAAGCATATACATTTAATAATATTGGGGGAGGGGGTGCCCTTTAAAGGTGCAGAAATTACAATATGGTGATTTAAATATCAAAGCTGATATATCAGTGATGAGAATATTTTTTAAGAATAAGTCAAATTTAAAAAAAAATCCGAACAAGCAACTTTTTTACTCGGACAAGTGAAAGGCAGATTTACTTAGCGTATGAAAAGGCTTAATGTCGAGCCCTCCCTATATATCAATGTCATCAGGAGACACACATACACCGGTAGGCAGTGGCCCACCTTACCTGGTGACCACGTCTTGGTCCACCAGAATTTATAGTTTACCCACCTCTTTTTTTACAACTACACCTCTGCATACACCAATCGTCTGTACTCTGTACAGTGCTGTCGATCACTGTCTGCTGTATGCTTTCGAATCAGTACTGTGATGTCATACATACACCCAGGGATGTAGTGGAGGCTAAATGCACGTAAATGCCGTTTACCCACCTCCCAATATTCGGGAATTGCGTTTGCACATCCAAAGTGCGTTTATCCACCTTTCAATTGCGTTTATCCACCTCTAAATATCCAGTAGTTCCTAAGACATTTTAAATTAAGCTTATGTCGTTTTAGTTTCATATTGTCCACACTCTAAAAAATGATGAGTTGGATTTACTTAAAATATATATGCACCATTTTTGTATCAAAAAATGTGCACATATCTTTTAAGTAAATCCAACACAGTGCAGGCCATGTGAGATCAAAACAAATCTTAGTTCTGTTAACTTAAAATTTAAGCTCATTGATATATATAAAATAAGACAATTAAATCAGTTGAACCAACCATTTTAACTTAGTTTAGATCTTCAGCTTACATGTCTTAAAATAAATAACATGCAAATCACACACAATAAAGCATTTCACTTTATTATTTATTTAAATTGCATCTTAAAATATATTCAAATAGAAAATAGTTGTTAAAATAATAATAATAATATAGTCACAATATTAAAGTTTTTCTTGGATCAAAGAAATGAAGGCTTGGTGGGCGGAAGAGACTTCTTTTAAAAATATTAAACAATCTTAGTGTGTGTGTGTGTGTGTGTGTGTGTGTGTGTGTGTGTGTGTGTGTGTGTGTGTGTGTGTGTGTGTGTGTGTGTGTGTGTGTGTGTGTGTGTGTGTGTGTGTGTGTGTGTGTGTGTGTGTGTGTGTGTGTGTGTGTGTGTGTGTGCGTGCGTGCGTGTGTGTGTGTGTGTGTCGGTTCAGCGGAGACATTCCATATGTTTGATTAGTGTTAATCTTACTTCATAGTATAATCATTAAAAGTTTAAATGATATCTTTTAAAAATACAAGATGTTTTAAAATAAATTAAATTAATTCATAAAACAAATATGCTACATCAGCGGTCTATGGAAAAAACTTGACCATATTTTTATTTATCAGGGTGCATGTAAAAAATTGGGGCTCTCACAAGTCATCTCACACATTGTGTGAAATATTCAATAATTCCTTAAGTAGTATCTCTGCGAAAATCACCACATAGGCCTATCTTTAGTGCGAGAGCCCCAATGAAGACATTTAGAATCTGTGATGCCAAAGGCCGGCCACCCATTAGCTTCAGGATATAGGGTGACAGAGCAGATGAGTCTCTGTGCATCGCCTTTCCAGAGTCAAAGTTTTGTTCGTACTAGAATTATTTCGAATTATAATCATAAAAGTTTCAAGCTTTTAAAATGAAAAGATTGTTTAAATTAAATCTTTATAGTTTTAATACATTCATATCTTCTATTTCTTTTAAAGATTACTGTAATGATTTTGTTTAATGGCGACCTAAAAATATAATTTTTATTAATATAGCCATAACAATTTTTGTACTGTAACTGCGTATTCTATACGGTACACCTAAAACACGACCATCAGAGAAAACTGCATTTTCAATAAATGAATAAATAATTGAATATAATTTATAATAAAGCTGTTTTGCACTCACAAAACATAAAATCTCTATTTTTAAATTAAATAATTATAAATAAAGTATATAACTCTATAATGAATAATAACACATATGTTATTAAAATGTATTCGTACAAATTAAACATAGTTTTATCTAAATGAATATATAAATTACGTCTATAATTACAAAAAAACTCCTTACATTTTTTCCCCTCCTTGAACTGCCACCTTAACGTGGTGGAGGGGTTTGAGTACCCGAATGACCCTAGGAGCTATGTTGTCTGGGGCTATATGCCCCTGGTAGGGTCTCCCAAGGCAAACAGGTCCTAGGCGACGGGTCAGACTAAGAGCGGTTCAAAAACCCCTTATGATGGAAATACATCCAAGGACCGTGACGTCGCCCGGTATGGCGCAGCCGGGGCCCTACCCTGGAGCCAGGCCCGGGGTTGGGGCTCGTATGCGAGCGCCTGGTGGCCGGGCCTTTCCCCATGGGGTCCGGCCGGGCTCAGCCCGAAGAAGCGACGTGGGACCGTCTTCCCGTGGGCTCACCACCTGCAGGAGGAGCCGTAAGGGGCCGGTGCAGAGAGGATTGGGCGGCAGTCGAAGGCAGGGGCCTCGGCGACCCGATCCCTGGACACGGAATCTAGCCTTAGGGACGTGGAACGTCACCTCACTGGCGGGGAAGGAGCCCGAGATTGTGCGTGAGGTTGAGAGGTTCCGACTAGAGATAGTCGGAATCACCTCTACGCATGGCTTGGGTTCTGGAACCACACTCCTTGAGAGAGGATGGACTCTTCACCACTCTGGAGTTGCCCATGGTGAGAGGCGGCGGGCTGGTGTGGGCTTGCTTATAGCCCCCCACCTCAGCCGCCATGTGTTGGAGTTTACCCCGGTGAACGAGAGGGTCGTTTCTCTGCGCCTACGGGTCGGGGATAGGTCTCTCACTGTCGTTTGTGCCTACGGGCCAAACGGCAGTGCAGAGTACCCGGCCTTCTTGGAGTCTCTGGGAGGGGTGCTGGAAAGTGCCCCGACTGGGGACTCCGTTGTTCTACTGGGGGACTTCAACGCTCACGTGGGTAACGACAGTGACACCTGGAGGGGCGTGATTGGGAGGAACGGCCCCCCCGACCTGAACCCGAGTGGTGTTCAGTTATTGGACTTCTGTGCTAGTTACAGTTTGTCCATAACGAACACCATGTTCAAGCATAAGGGTGTCCACCAGTGCACGTGGCACCAGGACACCCTAGGTCGTAGGTCGATGATTGACTTTGTGGTCGTTTCATCTGACCTGCGGCCATATGTCTTGGACACTCGGGTGAAGAGAGGGGCGGAGCTGTCAACTGATCACCACCTGGTGGTGAGTTGGATCCGATGGCGGGGGAGGAGGCTGGACGGACTCGGCAGACCCAAGCGTACTGTAAGGGTTTGCTGGGAACGTTTGGCCGAATCTCCTGTCAGAAAGATCTTCAACTCTCACCTCCGGCAGAGCTACGACCAGATCCCGAGGGAGGCTGGAGATATTGAGTCTGAGTGGACCATGTTCTCCGCCTCCATTGTCGAAGCGGCTGCTCGGAGCTGTGGCCGTAAGGTCTCCGGTGCCTGTCGAGGCGGCAATCCTCGAACCCGGTGGTGGACACCGGAAGTAAAGGATGCCGTCAAGCTGAAGAAGGAGTCCTATCGGGCCTTGTTGGCTCGTGGGACTCCAGAGGCAGCTGACGGGTACCGGCAGGCCAAGCGGACTGCGGCCCGGGTGGTCGTGGAGGCAAAAACTCGGGCCTGGGAGGAGTTCGGTGAGGCCATGGAGAAGGACTATCGGCTGGCCTCGAAGAGATTCTGGCAAACTGTCCGGCGCCTCAGGAGGGGGAAGCAGTCCCCTACCAATGCTGTTTACAGTAGGGGTGGGCGGCTGTTGACCTCGACTGGGGATGTCGTCGGACGGTGGAAGGAATACTTCGAGGACCTCCTCAATCCCGCCGTCACGTCTTCCATTGAGGAAGCAGAGGCTGAGGGCTCGGAGGTGAACTCGTCCATCACCCTAGCTGAGGTCACCGAGGTAGTCAAGAAACTCCTCGGTGGCAAGGCACCGGGGGTGGATGAGATCCGCCCCGAATACCTCAAGTCTCTGGATGCTGTGGGGCTGTCTTGGTTGACACGCCTCTGCAGCATCGCGTGGCGGTCGGGGACAGTGCCTCTGGGATGGCAGACCGGGGTGGTGGTTCCTCTTTTTAAGAAGGGGGACCGGAGGGTGTGTTCCAACTATAGGGGGATCACACTTCTCAGCCTCCCTGGGAAAGTCTATGCCAGGGTACTGGAGAGGAGAATACGGCCGATAGTGGAACCTCGGATTCAGGAGGAACAGTGCGGTTTTCGTCCTGGCCGTGGAACACTGGACCAGCTCTATACTCTCTACAGGGTGCTGGAGGGTTCATGGGAGTTTGCCCAACCAGTCCACATGTGTTTTGTGGATTTGGAGAAGGCATTCGACTGTGTCCCCCGAGGCGGCCTGTGGAGGGTGCTCCGGGAATATGGGGTCCGGGGTCCTTTGCTAAGGGCTGTCCGGTCCCTGTATGACCGAAGCAGGAGCTTGGTTCGCATTGCCGGTAGTAAGTCAGACTTCTTCCCGGTGCATGTTGGACTCCGGCAGGGCTGCCCTTTGTCGCCGGTTCTGTTCATAATTTTTATGGACAGAATTTCTAGGCGCAGCCAGGGGCCGGAGGGCGTCAGGTTTGGGGACCACACGATTTCGTCTCTGCTCTTCGCGGATGATGTTGTCGTGTTGGCCCCTTCACACCAGGACCTTCAGCATGCACTGGGACGGTTTGCAGCCGAGTGTGAAGCGGCTGGGATGAAAATAAGCACCTCCAAATCCGAGGCCATGGTCCTCAGCCGGAAAAGGGTGGCTTGCCCACTTCAGGTTGGTGGAGAGATCCTTCCTCAAGTGGAGGAGTTTAAGTATCTTGGGGTTTTGTTCACGAGTGAGGGAAGGATGGAACGGGAGATTGACAGACGGATCGGTGCAGCTTCAGCAGTAATGCGGTCGATGTACCGGTCTGTTGTGGTAAAGAAGGAGCTGAGCCGTAAGGCAAAGCTCTCGATTTACCAGTCAATCTACGTTCCTACTCTCACCTATGGTCATGAGCTTTGGGTCATGACCGAAAGGACAAGATCCCGGATACAGGCGGCTGAAATGAGCTTTCTCCGCAGGGTGGCTGGGCGATCCCTTAGAGATAGGGTGAGAAGCTCGGTCACTCGGGAGGAGCTCAGACTAGAGCCGCTGCTCCTCCACATCGAGAGGGGTCAGCTGAGGTGGCTCGGGCATCTGTTCCGGATGCCTCCTGGACGCCTTCCTGGGGAGGTGTTCCGGGCACGTCCCACTGGGCGGAGGCCCCGGGGAAGACCTAGGACACGCTGGAGAGACTATGTCTCCCGGCTGGCCTGGGAACGCCTCGGTATCCCCCCAGAAGAGCTGGAGGAAGTGTCTAGGGAGAGGGAAGTCTGGGCATCTCTGCTTAGACTGCTGCCCCCGCGACCCGGCCCCGGATGAGCGGAAGAAGATGTTTATGTTTATGTCCTTACATTTTCAGAGCGCTGAAGTAGTACTAGAATCTAGATCTATGCAATGATAAAGACTATCCAAAAAGCAAATAGTTTTAGCTGTCATAAACAAAGCCCTCACATATCCGTCAGTGATAGGGTGGGATGAAGCTTCAGACCCTCACAGAGACAGAGGAGTTACAGGCTACAGTAGATGAGCCACTGGGCCACAATTATGTCACAGCGTATGCAATGCTAGTCTACTTTTCAGAGTTTTATTTTAAATTCATTTGAAAGCATAATCTTAAAGTTTCAATTAGATCTTCAATTTTTTATTAAAGTCATATCTTCTGTTTATCTTACAAGACTTCTGTATGATATAAATGGGTTTGCATAAATTTAACCAAAGGTATTATTTATACTAAAAACAATAGCAAAAACTGTGCTTTGGCGTCTTCAATCTTATTTCTACTAAATATTTCAAACATTATTTTTGTCCATGCCACATGAGACAAGTTGTCAAAGTTTGTTTTTGTTGTTTTAAAAGAAATCACACGACTCTACGTTGCACTTTTTTTAGATTAAGCTGTATCATTTAGAAAATCACCACACATTTCCAGAGACACAATGTGTCTCTGTTGTCCAAGATGCTCCATAAGTAAAGTTGGTCTTGACCGAATATTTAATTTTACTCATCTTAATTCAAAGCATGATCTTACTTTTTCTACGGTAGCTATATGACCATTTGTACATATAAGATATATCATTTTTACTTTTCTTGTATCTCCCAAACTATCCTTATTCATTGTGGAAAGACACAGGTGAAACCCTTCACTGAGAATATACTATCGGTTATCTACTCAAAATATATGTAGAATTTTCAAATGTCAGCTTTTGTCTGTTGACCACATGAACAGACTTTGTGGAGAGCCAATGGTACTATAGCAGAAACATGCCCTTTGACCTCCTCCATTTTGGAGGCTTTTTGTTAAAGACCCTACAGCTTCGTCCTTAAAAGGCACGCCGTGTAGGAATTTCTCCCATCTAACGGTGAAATTGTATTTGGCATTCAAACCCATAGTACTCTCTAGCGCCATGCATTTTTAAATGCGTGTTGTGATTACGGTGACCGTTATGTGCCAAGTACGGTGACCGTTATGTGCCAAGAATCTAGGACATGTTGTCCAATAGCACTTTTTCGAGTTTAACTATACACATTCTACCATTACGCCGTCTATATATTGAATTGCACAACCACGGAAAAAGCTTGTAATTTAGACCATTGACTTATCTGTCGATAAGAAAGCAGGAATTCTGCATTCTGTTCAAAGTCTTTCTCCTTCATTAGCTCTATCCACCTGGGAAAAGCTATCCCGACATTTACCCTCGTTTTGAATTTGCCGGTCAAGTTTCCTTTTAGATTCAATTTTTAAGCTTTATCATGGCAACGAGGATTGCATTATGAAGTATCGTGCAGTGTAGCCTTTCAAGCGCCTCTCACTGACCTCCTTGTGTCCGTTTCAGTCAGCCGGCTCTCAATGAAAACGCATTGCGGTGGACTAGTGCTTTTTTGTCCCTCTCCGTTATTATAGTTTTTCAAGATGGCGGAACGACACGGCGGCCTCCATGACTCACCCGTCAGGTCATTGTCAGAGCTAAGTTTACAGTTTAAAGTTTAAATCACTTGCAACACATTGTAACATACACACAACGATCGACCAGGGGCCCGTTTCAATAAGGAGGTTCAACCAACTCTGAGTTAAAGCTTGAACTCAGAGTTGACTTACCCTGAGATGGGAAACTCTGAGTTTTCGGTTACAGAACAGCTGAAATGAGTTAGTTCAATCAACTCTGAGTTGACTGACTCTGAGTTAAGCGCGTGCACCACAGCTATAAAAAGCCATTATCAATGGAGCGCAGATATTATGAGTCACCATGGCAACAACGCCAGACAAAAAGAGTGTTGGGTATAATTAATTACCAAGTAATCTAAGTATTGTAATTTAATTAAAGGGATTACTCTTAATTCTTCTTTAATTTAAAATAAAATATGATGCAATTACATTAAATAGGCTACTGCATAAACTATAGACCTATTCAGTATAAAACAATAGTGGATTTAGCATACATTTTTAAAAGGTATATTTTTATATAACCTTCTCCCTCTACCCACTTTGATCAATTCAAGAATAATTCATGCAATTGTATTGTTAATTTGAAACCATTAAAAGTGCAGTTTCTTGTCTCTCCTCCTTGTATTAATCAAGTGGTTGAGGTTAATATAGGATTTAGTAATATGTAGACCATTACTTTCTAGAGATAGTAATTATTACATTAATCTAACTACACCGTTAATGTCATGGATTGGCCAGGTTCTTCCACCACAATCACCCAGCGATCACAGTCACCAGAGTATTGACGAGAGACACCTGCACCTCATCAACAACACTGCTTCATAAGCACGCATCACGCACCTCTCATTGTTCGGGCTCGTTCATACGAAGCGGACTCATAGTGCTTCTCTCTGCGAGTTTCATTACCAACACTAACCTGTGTTTCCTTACCAGTATTCTGTGCCAATTCCAGTCTGTCCAAAACTACGCTTCAGAGGTGGGCAAGCCGTAAGCCATCCAATTCCTTCAAGAGGAGCGTGTGTGTGCCATCCGTCTGTCTGTCTCACACAACGGTGTGTATCTGGGAATCTCCGCCTGTCGAGTCCACGAAAGAAATATATCACTTATCCATTCACGGACTATTCTCAAGTATTGCTCTGATCTGAACTCTGCCATTTTCATCCATTGCTGTCCATGAAGTGTTCCTGACACTCTGTTGTTTAATTAAAGACGATTCTCTATTGCTTACCTTGTCCGTCTGCTTCCGTAACAGTTGAAGATGTCATTTGTTGTTAATAATTCATAACTATTTTAGAGTAACTGTTATAATATCAGAGGTGAAACTGGAAGAATGTTATTCAACCTAAAGTAGTCTACTATACTTTGATACATTTTTACTTAAGTAAAAGTAAAAAAAAAACAGGTCTAAAAAATCTACTCAAGTAAAAAGTAGTTAATTTAAAACATGAGTAAAAGTTGCTGAGTAACTTGTTTAACAGCGGGGGTGGGGTGGGGGACTCCCCCATGTGGGGTTGTAACGTATGAGTTTCACAGTATCAGAACCAATTGATAAACAATTGTTAAATATATAAACTGCATTATTAAATTACGGTTATTATTTTCATCAGTTAAAATGACAGTTAAATAAATTAAACATTTGTTCAATAAAACATAATATCAACTAACTTCAATAATTGATTATGATTGACATCTTATTTTTTATCATTAATAACTTATTAAATTTTATTACAATTTTTTCCAATGATTTAATAGAAATATATTATCCAAAACAGTGGTAATCAAATAAAAGTTTAGCAAATGTTTTAATCCTTTTATTTTTTGGCAAAGTGCTGCAAAACAGATTTAGTCAATTAAACCATGGACAAACAATATATATATTCCTTAAAGAATGTGTAAATACATTTTAGTATTATTGTTGGTGTTTAAACAGCACTTCCTCTTTAAAAAAAAGGGGAGGAGACCACAAGAAACTCTGGGTTTACTGAAGAAAACCTGCTCCCGACCAGGTTAGGTTCACAGAGTAAGTTACCATGGTAACTGACTCTGAGTATATGTTACCTCTCTTTCAGAAACGGGCTTGACTTAGTCTGCTTTCTCGGGTTTGATATACCCCCCTTTCTGAAACGAAAAACGTCTCGGTTACGGATGTAACCCTCGTTCCCTGAGTAGGGAACGGAGACGTTACGTCAGAAGTGACGGAGATTGGGTTTCGCATAGAAAGCCAATCCTCTTCGAGTATTTAATCACGAGCCAATGGCATGCAATGCCTTGGGGCTGCGGAATTTTGCATAGCGTACTCCGCCCTACTCCGTGAGTATAAAAGGAGGAAGTGAACGCAACCGCAGTATGTCTTCGCTGAGGAGCCAAGACTGAACTCAGGCGTCTACCCAGCGGTACAGCAGAAGTGGCAGGGAGACGTAACGTCTCCGTTCCCTACTCAGGGAACGAGGGTTACATCCGTAACCGAGACGTTCCCTTTCGTAGTCACTTCGAGTTACGTCAGAAGTGACGGAGATTGGGGGTCAATGCCAACCACGCCATCTTACAGCTGTCTTCCAGTGCCCTGCGAAAGTCTAGACCCCTGAACCTAGGTATCACCAGGAGATCCTACTTTGACACAGGAATACCAAGGTACACTGGGAAACATATCCCGGGAGGGACATGCTACCAGATGCCTACCGTAGGGAGGACTTACGAATACACATATGGCCGCATAGGGACACATATGGAGATCACTGGAGCACCAACCGCAGGTGGTTACTAGAATTAACTCTAGGGGTGGCAGATGGCTTGCCAAGGGAAGACACATGCTCAGAGAGGCTTACAGTGGATAATACACATGAGACAGTTACCATAGGGAACCGTGCACATGGAGGCACCTAGCCAGCAACCAGAGCGACGCAGTGGTGCCCACATCTTGGGTGCTGGAGGACTCAAGGCTTCAAGGAAGACTACTGGGGAATATCGCACTTATCCAGTCGAGAGTGGAATGGCGAGCAAGCGAAGACACCTAAGCGGGTCCAGTACTGGTGGAAGCGAGTACGTGAGAGGACACCGGTTTGACTCGCAGATTATAGAATCTGGCGAAGGTGTTTGGTGTCGCCCAGCCTGCAGCTCTACAGATGTCTGTTAGCGAGGCGCCATGCGCTAGAGCCCAAGAGGAGGCCACACTCCGAGTGGAATGGGCCGTCACACCAAGAGGGCACGGACGGCCTTGCTGCTGGTAAGACAAAACAATAGCGTCCACTATCCAGTGAGACAGCCGTTGTTTTGAGAGAGCCCTTCCCTTCTGGCTCCCTCCATGACAGACAAAGAGCTGGTCTGAGGTCCTGAAACACTGCGTTCTGTCGACGTAGGTGCAGAGTGCACGTACTGGACAGAGCAGTGCCAAGCCTGGGTCTGCCTCCTCCAGGGGCAGCGCTTGCAGGTTCACCACCTGGTCCCGGAAGGGAGTGGGGGGAACCTTGGGCACATATCCAGGCCGGGGTCTCAAGATACGTGAGAGTAAGCCGGTCCGAAACTCCAGGCACGCTTCGTCAACAGAGAATGCGTGCAGGTCCCCCACCCTCTTGAAGGAGGCCAATGCAACCAGGAGTGCCGTCCTCATAGGACAGAACTTAACTCTACCGATTGCAAAGGCTCAAGGGGAAGCCTCTGCAGAGCACTTATATCTACTGAGAGGTCCCATGAGGACACGAGGGGAGGGTGAGGCGGATCTCGCCTCCATGATCCCCTCAGGAACCTCATGACCAGGTCATGCTTCCCCTATACTTACCTTTCACTGCATCATGAGACGCGGCAATGGCTGTGACATGAACCCTAAGGGTGGAGGGCGACAGCCTATGCTCCAACCCTTCTTGCAGGAAGGAAAGCACGACACCGATCGAACATCTCCGGGGGTCTTCTCCGCGAGAAGAGCACCAGTTGACGAAGAGGTTCCACTTCAACGCGTATAGGTGTCCCGTGGACGACGCTCTAGCGGAAGTGATGGTAGACACCACCGCAGGTGGCAGCGAACTCAAACCTGCCCTGTCCTGTCCAGGAGCCACACGTGTAGCCTCCATAGTTCGGGACGAGGGTGCCACAGAGTGCCCCGTCTCTGAGTGAGTAGATCCTGTGTCAGAGGAATAGGCCAAGGAGGTGCTGTCGCGAGGAGCATGAGTTCGGAGAACCACGTCTTGGTGGGCCAATAAGGGGCTACCAGCAAGACCTGCTCCTCGTCCTCCTTGATCTTGCACAACACCCGTGCAAGGAGGCTCACTGGGGGAAACGCATATTTGCGTGGGCCCCGAAGCCAGCTGTGCGCCAGTGCGTCTGTGCCGAGCATGCCCTCGTACAGGGAGTAAAACTGGGCGCAGTGGGAGGAGTCCCGGGAGGCAAACAGATCTATCTGAGCCTCCCCGAACTGGTCCCAAATCAGCTGGACCGTCTGGGGATGGAGTCGCCATTCCCCGGAGATAGGGCGGATCCGTGACAGCTCGTCGGCTGCCAGGTTCCGGTCTCCTGGAATGTACACTGCACGAAGGGACCTCAGGTGCTTCTGACTCCATAGCAAGAGGTGGCGGGCGAGCTGCGACAACTGGCGCGAGTGTAGACCCCCCTGGTGGTTGATGTACGCTACAGCAGTGGTGTTGTCTGAAAGGACAAGTACATGTTGGCCCCTGAGCAGTGCTCGAAAGCGGTGCAGGGCCAGGCGTACTGCCAACAGCTCGAGGCAATTGATGTGCATGAGGCGCTGGGGTCCTGTCCAGGAACCCGCGGCTGCATGCCCATTGCACATGGCACACCAACCCGTGGTAGATGCATCCGTGGAGACAGTGAGATGCCTGGAAGCTCGCTGGAGCGGGACACCGGCCCGCAAAAAGCTGAGGTTCGACCACGGGGAGAAGGTACGGCGGCACGCTGGAGTAACTGGAACTCGAAGCGAGCCGCGATGCCATGCCCACCTCGGGACTCGATCGCGAAGCCACAGCTGAAGTGGTCTCATATGACGCAAACCGAGCGCCGTTGCCGTGGCTGCGGATGCCATATGCCCCAGGAGCCTCTGAAAGAGTTTCAGTGGAACCACATTCTTGCCTTCGAACTGACGAAGACAAGTCAGCAGTGAGTGTGCGCGCTCGTTCGTGAGCTGCGCGGACATGGCGACCGAGTCTATCTCCATGCCGAGAAAAGAGATCCTCTGCACGGGGCAAAGTTTGCTCTTCTCCCGGTTGACCCGAAGGCCCAGACGGGCTAGGTGCCGGAGCACCAGGTCTCTGTGTTCGCAAAGCTGTTCTCGAGAGTGTGCCACTAACAGCCAATCGTCGAGATAATTCAGGATGCGAACCCCGTGTTCGCGAAGGGGAACAAGGGCTGCCTCGACGATCTTTGTGAAGACGCGAGGCGACAGAGCTAACCCGAAAGGGAGAACCGTGTACTGATGCCTGGCCTCGAGGCAAACCGAGAACGGTCTCTGTCGAAGCAAAAATGGAGACATGAAAGTACGCGTCCTACAGGTCAATCGCTGCAAACCAATCCTGCGACCGGACGCATTCGAAAATGCGTTTGGCTGTGAGCATTTTGAACGGTGGCTCAAAATGCGCAGATCCAGGATCGGTCGTAACCCCCGGTGGGTTACGACCGATCCTGGATCTGCGCATTTTGAGGGACAGTGAAGTATGGGCTGTAAACCCGGACCTCACCTCGGCTGGAGGGGCCGTCTCGATTGCACCCTTCGCCAGTAGGGTCGCAATCTCTGCTCTCATGACCGGGGCATAGCCACCGACCACCGTGGAGCCACAGCGGTGGGCTTCACCTGACCAAGGGAGCGAGCGGCCTCTTCCGTCGCCCGTTTGAGAGCAAGATAGGCGGCAGGCTCGCAGCTCGCTTGGTCCGTCCTCTCCTCATGCACATTCCTGAGCAGCTAGCAGGTGCTCATCATATGCAGGGCGGAGGCTGCCTGTCCCGCCGCTCTACAGGATCGCGCCACCATAGACGACGAGAACCCATAGGCTTTGGATGGGCATCTGGGAGCACCGCGGGAGGACGTGCCCTGCGGACGCAGCTGCATCGCAACAGAGCGCTCCACCGGGGGAGTCCCAGCGCATTCCTGCACATTCCAGGAGACCGGAACCTGGCGGCCGTCGAGCGGTCACGGGTCCGCCCTATCTCCGGCGAATGGCGACTCCATCCCCAGACGGCCCAGCTGATTGGGACCAGTTCGGGGAGGCACAGATACTTCTGTTCGCCTACCGGGACTCATCCCACTGCGCCCAGTTTTTTTTTTTCTCCCTGTCCGAGGGCACGCTCGGCACAGATGCACTGGCGCACAGCTGGCCGCGGGGCCCACGCAAGTATGCGTTTTCCCCAGTGAGCCTTCTTGCACGGATGTTGTGCAAGATCAAGGAGGACGAGGAGCAGGTCTTGCTGGTAGCCCCCTATTGGCCCACCAAGACGTGGTTCTCCGAACTCATGCTCCTCGCGACAGCATCTCCTTGGCCTATTCCTATTCAGGATCTACTCACTCAGAGACGGGGCACTCTGTGGCACCCTCGTCCCGAACTGTGGAGGCTACACGTGTGGCTCCTGGACGGGACGGGGCAGGTTTGAGTTCGCTGCCACCTGCGGTGGTGGCAACCATCACTTCCGCTAGAGCATCGTCCACGAGACACCTTTATGCGTTGAAGTGGAACCTCTTCGTCAACTGGTGCTCTTCTCACGGAGAAGACCCCCGGAGATGTTCGATCGGTGTCGTGCTTTCCTTCCTGCAAGAAGGGTTGGAGCGTAGGCTGTCGCCCTCCACCCTTAGGGTTCATGTCACGGCCATTGCCGCGTCTCATGATGCAGTGAAAGGTAAGTCTAGGGGAAGCATGACCTGGTCATCAGGTTCCTGAGGGGATCGTGGAGGCGAGATCCGCCTCACCCTCCCTCGTGCCTCTTGGGACCTCTCAGTAGATATAAGTGCTCTGCAGAGGCTTCCCCTTGAGCCTTTGCAATCGGTAGAGTTAAGTTCTGTCCTTGAGGACAGCACTCCTGGTTGCATTGGCCTCCTTCAAGAGGGTGGGGGACCTGCACGCATTCTCCGTTGACGAAGCGTGCCTGGAGTTTCGGACCGGCTTACTCTCGCGTATCTTGAGACCCTGGCCTGGATATGTGCCCAAGGTTCCCACCACTCCCTTCTGGGACCAGGTGTTGAACCTGCAATCCTGCCCCTGGAGGAGGCAGACCCAGCCTTGGCACTGCTCTGTCCAGTACGTGCACTCCGCACCTACGTCGACAGAACGTGGTGTTCAGGACCTCAGACCAGCTCTTGTCTGTCATGGGGGGAGCCAGAAGGGAAGGGCTCTCTCAAAGCAACGGCCGTCTCACTGGGTAGTGGACGCCATTGCTTTGTCTTACCAGCAGCAAGGTCGACCGTGCCCCCTTGGTGTGACGGCCCATTCCACTCGGAGTGTGGCCTCCTCTTGGGCTCTAGCGCATGGCGCCTCGCTAACAGACATTGCAGAGCTGCAGGCTGGGTGACACCAAACACCTTCACAAGATTCTATAATCTGTGAATCGAACCGGGGTCCTCTCACGTACTCGCTTCCACCAGTATTGGACCCGCTTAGGTGTCTTCGCTTGCTCGCCATTCCACTCCTCGGACTGGATAAGTGTGATATTACTCAGTAGTCTTCCGTTGAAGCCTTGAGTCCTCCAGCACCCATGATGCGGGCACCACTGCTGTTGCTCTGGATGCCGGCTAGGTGCCTCCATGTGCACGGTTCCCTATGGTAACTGTCTCATGTGTATTTCCACTGTAAGCCTCTCTGAGCATGTGTCTTCCCTTGGCAAGCCATCTGCCACCCCTGGAGTTAATTCTAGTAACCACCTGCGGTTGGTGCTCCAGTGATCTCCATATGCGTCCCTATGCGGCCATATGTGTATTCGTAAGTCCTCCCTACGGTAGACATCTGGTAGCATGTCCCTCCCGGGATATGTTTCCCAGTGTACCTTGGTATTCCTGTGTCAAAGTAGGATCTTCTGGTGATACCATAGGTTCAGGGGTCTAGACTTTCGCAGGGCACTGGAAGACAGCTGTAAGATGGCGTGATGGCATTGACCCCCAATCTCCGTCACTTCTGACGTAACTCGAAGTGACTACGAAAGGGAACGTCTCGGTTACGGATGTAACCCTCGTTCCCTGAGTAGGGAACGGAGACGTTACGTCTCCCTGCCACTTCTGCTGTACCGCTGGGTAGACGCCTGAGTTCAGTCTTGGCTCCTCAGCGAAGACATACTGCGGTTGCGTTCACTTCCTCCTTTTATACTCACGGAGTAGGGCGGAGTACGCTATGCAAAATTCCGCAGCCCCAAGGCATTGCATGCCATTGGCTCGTGATTAAATACTCGAAGAGGATTGGCTTTCTATGCGAAACCCAATCTCCGTCACTTCTGACGTAACGTCTCCGTTCCCTACTCAGGGAAATTAAAAAAAGTATAAATTTAAAAAAAGTATTTTATTAGCTAAAGTCAATGTCTTTATTCATAAATATGAATATTAGCTCTGACAATGATCTGACGGGTGAGTCATGGAGGCCGTGTCATTCCGCCATCTTGAAAAACTATAATAACGGAGAGGGACAAAAAAGCACTAGTCCACCGCAATGCATTTTCATTGAGAGCCAGCTGACTGAAACGGACACAAGGAGGTCAGTGAGAGGCGCTTGAAAGGCTACACTGCACGATACTTCATAATGCAATCCTCGTTGCCATGATAAAGCTTAAAAATTGAATCTAAAGGAAACGTGACCGGCAAATTCAAAACGAGGGTAAATGTCGGGATAGCTTTTCCCAGGTGGATAGAGCTAATGGAGGAGAAAGACTTTGAACAGAATGCAGAAGTCCTGCTTTCTTATCGACAGGTAAGTCAATGGTCTAAATTACAAGCTTTTTCATTCCGTGGTTGTGCAATTCAATATATAGACGGCGTAATGGTAGAATGTGTATAGTTAAACTCGAAAAAGTGCTATTGGACGACATGTCCTAGATTCTTGGCACATAACGTCACCGTACTTGGCACATAACGGTCACCGTAATCACAACACGCATTTAAAAATGCATGGCGCTAGAGAGTACTATGCGTTTGAATGCCCAAATACAATTTCACCGCTAGATGGGAGAAATTCCTACACGGCGTGCCTTTTAAAGGGTAACTAAACACCAAAAAAAAACTTTTTTAGTTAATGATCTGTAAGAATGGAGCTTCATAAATGCTGTTCATTGATTCGAGTACATTTTTTGACAATTGAGTATAAAGTGTTTTGATTTTCAAATATATGGTGTAAAAACGTCTGAGTGCTGCCCTCTTCAGGTTAAACGGAAAGCTCCTGCAGTAGGGGTACTTTCTGACGTAGGGAACTCTCAGACGCCACTCTCCTGTCACGCCCTGGTGCGAGCTCACCACGCCCTTGGCAGCCCCTGGTATAAAAGCATCTGGTTCCGTCAAAACTACTGTAGCGAGTCAGGAGTTGGATTTATGAGTATTGAAAACGATCAGGATAGCATAGCCTATATTAGCATCTAGTTAGCATAGCATTTATATAGTGTAGATCTAAAAAACTTCTTTTGCTTTCCCCATGAAAAGAGACACCAGTGATTTTGCCAAGAGATCTCTCGAATTTATTTATAATATTTATAAGACATAGGAGGAAGAGAAACAGAGGTCTTCATTCTGCATCGTTACCATCTCTTCCTACTTTTCGAACAAAGGTTCTCAGTCTTTATACCACTGACCAAGAAAAAACTGCATCCCCATAGTAACACATACCTATGACCACAAGAACATATGTTTCCCTTTAACTATGGAATGTATATCCATCCCTGATGGAAACTATACACTACATAAACTTTCAGTCTCACTCCAACATACATTCTCTCATACAGTTTAACTTATCCCAAAGTCTCCTAAAGTCTCTCTCTCTCCCACATCTTCAAAACATTATAATCACAAAATGCAAAGATTACAAATGATAATGTGTGTATACATGTAATAAAACAGATACATATAATGAATATTAATAAAAAATAATAATAGTATTAAAAACAACATTAAATGAAGAGATTTTGAATCTTCAGTCCCTCCTCTGGAACTACGACAGTCAGTTCCACACCATCATCCCCAGGTGGCCAGCCTATTGAGGTGATAGTGCTGAGGAGAAATAGTAGACCAAGACATAGACATAGAAGACAAAAGAATGAAAACAGAAAAGAAAAGAAATAACAAACAAAAACCCAACCCATGTTATGTCCCCGTATGCTATGTGTCATTTAACATCTATGTGTAAGCATTTAAAATGAACCCCAATCATCTAAGAAAAGAAAAACTAAAAAAGTCTTCTGCCCGTGCCTGGACTCATTAATTAATTAACTCGTTAATTAATTAACTCCCCCAGTTCCGCGCTTAAAAATAATAAACAAAAATAAACGTTGATGTTAAAGGGTCCTATCCCTTGGGGTTGTAAATCAGTAAGCGGGTGTTCATTGTTTGTGAGGTTGTGTTTTGTATGTAGTGTAAAACATAAAATCTCCTATTTCACACCATATTTCTCATTCTCGGTTCTATCCATTTTGTCTTTTATCAAGAATAACTTACAACCATCTCTAATTAATGTCAATGAACTTGATTCCTGAAATGGAAACAGAAAAACAATTAATCATCACTTTTCCCAGTATTTAAAAAAAAAAAAATTCTTAGATTTGCTCAATCTTAAACCATAGGCCATCATCATTTTGTTATTCACTAAGCAAGGTTTAACTTGTAACCAATGATACCATCTATCTGTTCCTACACCCTTCCCTTTACAACATGCTTGACTATAACAAAACTGCCTAACTCAAGAATGTGTGGAATATCAGTAGTGGTGTGTTTTCATCCCATTGCTGTTGAATTCACTTTCTATTATTGTCTTTGGTAATTTTGTCCAGCATTGTGAAATAGCATCTTAATTTCTCTTGAAACAAAGTAGAGCCTGTTTCTGCAGGTGGCATAACATCAGGAAGTAGAACCATTGCTGTTCCAGTAATCAGTTACACATAATTCCTTCAATGAGCTGACGAACTTGTGCTTCAGTCCACGTCCTCCCTTGAGAAGTTTCATCATGGTTTTTCACAATGACTTGTTTAAAAGATGGACCTTGACCTTCTGCTCCACCTCCTTTAGCCCAACAGTCTTTCCTTAAGTGTCCATGCTTTCCACAGTTGCTGCAAATCTTCAACCACCTCTCTATGTCCATGTTGTATTGAACTGTCGCCACTCCTCTTTGGTTTGGCTTGTTTCCTTCTTCCAGGTTTGACCTCATAGCCATCTCTAGACGGCCAGCCCATTGCATAATTTGGTCAAATGTTTCGCCTGGATTGACTCCAAGTGATAACGCTTGTTGGTATTTAGAGCTAAACCCATCCACAAGTGTGTCAGTGAATTGTACATCATCTCTGTCAGGTTGTTTCTTTGCACAGAGAGCCCATCTCTCATAAGCATTCCACTTACGCAGAGCATATTCATCTGGAGATTCATCATCCTTTTGCTTAATCAATGTCACTGAAGTGAATGGAATTTTACCACTTCCCAAGATTTCTTGGATTTCTTTTCGAAATTCATCTAATGCTTGCCAAAGACCCAGGTGTCTTCCCTGGCCATCAACCCCAAAGTCTACCCATTGGGCTGATGTTATCACTGCTGGCAAGCGTTCCCATCTGTCTCTTGGGATTTTAGCTTTCACAATGGTGTGAATGTCTCTTAGTGTCATTTGATGTGCTTCAACCAGAGAGTCTAATTCTCGCCAAAACTCTGTGTTTGGATCTTGTCTCTTCAGAGGAGGTAAGGCTGTGAGAATGGCTTGTCGTTCTCCCGGAGTAAACGGTCTTTCTTCGGTCATCATCTCAGGTTGTGACTCTTCCCTTTTAATCACAGGTGAAGAAAATTCAGGACCAATCTTGTCAACTGTGGTCATGTTGTCATCCCTTGTCTCGTCACTCCAGTCAGATCCATAATTATGAGCCGGTGTACATCTCATCATGTCTCTGCTTGGCTGGGCTGATTTAGATCTCGTTATTATTGGAGCTGCTTGTGCAGATGCAATAAACATTTTGTCAACTGGACCTCCGTTTGATCTTGAAGCTTGAGGCTGCGTCAGAGGTTTAGATGAACTTGTGTATTGTTCAGGCAAAGGTGGACAAATCGGTTTGTAAGGTGGAGGCGTTACTGTTGTCGCAGATTTCACTAGTGCTTGTGAATATTTCCTTTCAGCTTCAGTTATTATATTTGTCCAATCTGGATCAAATAGATCATCACTGGTTGTGTTTTCCTTCTCTGGACATGTGATGATTTACTATGTGCGTCTATGTTCAGAAACTGCAGCCTATGTGATGCGTCTGTGTGTGTGCTCAGAGCTGCAGGCTGTCTGTATATGTATGTGTGTGTGCTCAGAGCTGCAGGCTGTGTGTGTGTATAGGTATGTGTGTGTGGGGCTCCCTGCCTCTCTCCCTCACCAACTGGATGTGTGTGTGTGAAGGTACAGGCAATTCTGAAGGGAGGGGCTGCTTCGCTCTCTTTCTCCCTCACTCACAGAACAAAAGAAAAATTTAAAGAAAAGTTAACTCTAATGCTTTTCAGTATTTTAGTTTTCTTTTTAAAACTCAAAACGGTTCCTTTTTTTTTCCTTTCTTTTCAAATACTTTGGATTTTATCTCAGATTAATTTCTTTGGTATTTATTTTTTCTTAAAGTTAACTCGGATCAGTCTCCTCAAATATTTGGACAGCTTTACGGTCAGGTTCAGAATGCCCACGATCCTAGCTAGTTACAAGGGCGCCTTTTATACTTGTATAACTCTAGCGTGTTACAATGTTTTAGGGATTACCCTGCCATCATTTTTAAAACAGTCCCGCCACATTTAACCGCTTTGGTCAATCAAGTACCACTCGTGTTAAACTTTCCTCGTCTCCTACTGAGAACGAATCTTCGGTGTGCTGGATGTTTTAGGGATTACTCTGCCTTCTTTAAACAGTCCCGCCACTATCCAACCACGTCGCAGTTATAACCAAGCAAATTTTACTAGCTTAACCGTTTTACAGCTAATTCCAAATTTCTGACTAGATGGTCTTTTTTCTAAAAAAGATCCACCTCTATCCCAGCATTTCAAATATTATTTGAGGTTTACTTTTCAGAGAACTTAAATAAGCCAAATTCAATTCAAATGACTTAATTTTATTCATTTTACTATGTCTTATATTCATTGGCAAAACAACTGGTACCTAAAATCAAACAGTTCTTTTCAGCAGTTTCAGTCACTGTCTCTAATCATCAGGCAGACTTAGAACTTTTTATGAAGCAAAAAGTCTTACCTGCAATGATTGAGACGAATGCCTGGACATGCATCCTGTTCCCGTGACGCCAAATTGTAGATCTAAAAAAACTTCTTTTGCTTTCCCCATGAAAAGAGACACCAGTGATTTTGCCAAGAGATCTCTCGAATTTATTTATAATATTTATAAGACATAGGAGGAAGAGAAACAGAGGTCTTCATTCTGCATCGTTACCATCTCTTCCTACTTTTTGAACAAAGGGTCTCAGTCTTTATACCACTGACCAAGAAAAAAACTGCATCACCATAGTAACACATACCTATGACCACAAGAACATGTGGTTTCCATTTACTATGGAATGTATATCGTTTCCCTATACACTGCATAAACTTTCAGTCTCACTCCAACATACATTCACTCATACAGTTTAACTTATCCCAAAGTCTCCTAAAGTCTCTCTCTCTCCTACATCCTCAAAACATTATAATCACAAAATGCAAAGATTACAAATAATAATGTGTGTATACATGTAATAAAACAGATACATATTATGAATATTAATAAAAAATAATAATAATACTAAAAACAACATTAAATGAAGAGATTGTGAATCTTCACCAACAGGGGGTAGGATTTCAAGGTGGATTTCAGGAAGAAAATTGGTCTTTAAAATTGGTCAAATGGTATTTTTATTTATATTTTACACTTGACTTGTGTAATCGTTGTAACAGTGATAAAGTAGACATAGGCTAACAATTAAGCTATTCAGTATAGTAAAGTAAAAATGATCTTGTCCACATTTGTGATTTGTCTCAAAATAAGAAACACTTACAGTGACCCCATGTTGGCTCTTCTACCTGTTCTTTTCATAGCTGGTAGCCCACATTGTGATATGTTGTCCCATTTAGAGCACTGGTAATCCAGATTTGGTAATCTTGAAAACAGTGTATCTGGATCAGGGTGATCCAGTCCAATGTTGCTTTGAAAAACCGGCATAAAAGTAAGACGGATTACCTGATCCTGGATAGCAAAAAATGGGATTTCCAAATCCGGATCATTTTGATCTAGATTAAATGTTTTGAACAACTGGCCCAATAGAATAAATGCAGTGTCCAACTGCATTTAGGACACTGATCATCATAATGGTGACTAATGTTTCAGGAAAATCGACATCAATTTATGAAGGCAGTTTATGTGATGTTGTCTCAAATTTTTCAGTTGTATCGACAATTTAACATTTAGGATGACTTTGGGAAATGAGTGAATGCAAACAGAGAAAGACAACAGCAGAAGTGGAGGAAATTAGTGAAAAGTCCGCCTCAAAAACGTACTCAAACCAATCAATCAATCTTGGCTTTTCTGAGTACACAAAGCATAGTATGTGAATAGTACAGATAAGATTTACAGTTAAGTCAAGTTTAAGTAACGTTAACTAAAAAGTATTTGTTAGAATCACTGTTGGATTTTACAGTGTTGTGGGCTTTTAAAAAAAAGTGTCAATGTGTGTGTGTGTGTGTGTCAGCAGCGCTGGAGGTCTAAGATCCCCCCCAGCATGCTCTGGGTGTCGTTCCTGTGTGGTGGCGTGGTCACCAGGGCGGCGCTGCGTCTGCTGCTGGTGATTCTGTGTCTGCTCATCACGCTGCTCATGGGAGTGCTCAACATAGTGAGAAACACCAGCTCACAACATAACATTTCACAAAACCCATATCTGTTAATGAAATATTTGTATCCGTTAGTTTTTCAAAATGCATTTCATTTGTTTTAAACTACAGCTACATTTCTTACTGTAAGTAGGAATCCTGTGTAGATCCTGTGTTATTAAGAGAAAATTAATGTCATTAAAATAGTTTTTTCTCCACTACAGTACAACTTACATACATCAAAACTTACAGTTTTATTCATATCTATAATCTGAAGGTTTTTACAGAGGGGTTTGTTCATATATCAATCGACGTGATTTTTAGAGCATTTTATTCCTAAAAACAAATTGAAAATGTTTTTTTCCGTCTGTTAACAGTGTTTTCTGATTTATGGAGTGATAAAAAGAGAAATCAAAAATCCCCTCTATAAAAATCTTTAACTCTAATATCCCAACAAAATCAATCAAGAATTTTGAATCTGGCTGTATAATATTCAAATTTATGTTCTAATAATGTATGGAAATTGATGCATATTTAAACGTAAGATTTCACAAAACTGATATCTATTAATGAAATACTTGTATCAGTTAGTTTATCAAAACACATTTCATTTGTTTTGAACTACAGCTAAATTTCTTACTGTAAGTAGGAATCCTAGGTACACAGCTTTATGCTTTATTTAGAGAAAATTAATGTCATTAAAATAGTTTTTCTCCACTACAGTACAACTTACATACATCAAAACTTACAGCTTTATTCATATCTATAATCTGAAGGTTTTTACAAAGGGGTTTGTTAATATATCAATCAACCTAATTTTTAGGGCATTTTATTCCTAAAAACAAAGTGAAATGTATTTTTTTTCTGTCTGTTAACAGTGTTTTCTGATTTATGGAGTGATAAAAAGAGAAATCAAAAATCCCCTCTATAAAAATCTTTAACTCTAATATCCCAACAAAATCAATCAAGAATTTTGAATCTGGCTGTATAATATTCAAATTTATGTTCTGATAATGTATGGAAATTGATGCATATTTAAACGTAAGATTTCACAAAACTGATATCTATTAATGAAATACTTGTATCAGTTAGTTTATCAAAACACATTTCATTTGTTTTGAACTACAGCTAAATTTCTTACTGTAAGTAGGAATCCTGTGTACACAGCTTTATGCTTTATTTAGAGAAAATTAATGTCATTAAAATAGTTTTTCTCCACTACAGTACAACTTACATACATCAAAACTTACAGTTTTATTCATATCTATAATCTGAAGGTTTTTTACAAAGGGGTTTGTTAATATATCAATCAACCTAATTTTTAGGGCATTTTATTCCTAAAAACAAAGTGAAAATGCATTTTTTTTCTGTCTGTTAACAGTGTTTTCTGATTTATGGAGTGATAAAAAGAGAAATCAAAAATCCCCTCTATAAAAATCTTTAACTCTAATATCCCAACAAAATCAATCAAGAATTTTGAATCTGGCTGTATAATATTCAAATTTATGTTCTGATAATGTATGGAAATTGATGCATATTTAAACATAAGATTTCACAAAACTGATATCTATTAATGAAATACTTGTATCAGTTAGTTTATCAAAACACATTTCATTTGTTTTGAACTACAGCTAAATTTCTTACTGTAAGTAGGAATCCTAGGTACACAGCTTTATGCTTTATTTAGAGAAAATTAATGTCATTAAAATAGTTTTTCTCCACTACAGTACAACTTACATACATCAAAACTTACAGCTTTATTCATATCTATAATCTGAAGGTTTTTACAAAGGGGTTTGTTAATATATCAATCAACCTAATTTTTAGGGCATTTTATTCCTAAAAACAAAGTGAAAATGTATTTTTTTCTGTCTGTTAACAGTGTTTTCTGATTTATGGAGTGATAAAAAGAGAAATCAAAAATCCCCTCTATAAAAATCTTTAACTCTAATATCCCAACAAAATCAATCAAGAATTTTGAATCTGGCTGTATAATATTCAAATTTATGTTCTGATAATGTATGGAAATTGATGCATATTTAAACGTAAGATTTCACAAAACTGATATCTATTAATGAAATACTTGTATCAGTTAGTTTATCAAAACACATTTCATTTGTTTTGAACTACAGCTAAATTTCTTACTGTAAGTAGGAATCCTAGGTACACAGCTTTATGCTTTATTTAGAGAAAATTAATGTCATTAAAATAGTTTTTCTCCACTACAGTACAACTTACATACATCAAAACTTACAGTTTTATTCATATCTATAATCTGAAGGTTTTTTACAAAGGGGTTTGTTAATATATCAATCAACCTAATTTTTAGGGCATTTTATTCCTAAAAACAAAGTGAAAATGCATTTTTTTTCTGTCTGTTAACAGTGTTTTCTGATTTATGGAGTGATAAAAAGAGAAATCAAAAATCCCCTCTATAAAAATCTTTAACTCTAATATCCCAACAAAATCAATCAAGAATTTTGAATCTGGCTGTATAATATTCAAATTTATGTTCTGATAATGTATGGAAATTGATGCATATTTAAACATAAGATTTCACAAAACTGATATCTATTAATGAAATACTTGTATCAGTTAGTTTATCAAAACACATTTCATTTGTTTTGAACTACAGCTAAATTTCTTACTGTAAGTATGAATCCTGTGTACACAGCTTTATGCTTTATTTAGAGAAAATGAATGTCATTAAAATAGTTTTTTCTCCACTACAGTACAACTTACATACATCAAAAATTACAGCTTTATTCATATCTATAATCTGAAGGTTTTTACTGAGGGGTTTGTTAATATATCAATCAACCTGATTTTAGGGCATTTTATTCCTAAAAACAAAGTGAAAATGCATTTTTTTCTGTCTGTTAACAGTGTTTTCTGATTTATGGAGTGATAAAAAGAGAAATCAAAAATACCCTCTATAAAAATCTTCAACTCTAATATCCCAACAAAATCAATCAAGAATTTTTAATCTGGCTTAATAATATTCAAATTTATGTTCTGATAATGTATGGAAATTGATGCATATTTAATTATAAGATTTCACAAAACCGATATCTATTAATGAAATACTTGTATCAGTTAGTTTATCAAAACACATTTCATTTGTTTTGAACTACAGCTAAATTTCTTACTGTAAGTAGGAATCCTGTGTACACAGCTTTATGCTTTATTTAGAGAAAATGAATGTCATTAAAATAGTTTTTTCTCCACTACAGTACAACTTACATACATCAAAACTTACAGTTTTATTCATATCTATAATCTGAAGGTTTTTACAGAGGGGTTTGTTAATATATCAATCAACCTGATTTTTAGGGCATTTTATTCCTAAAAACAAAGTGAAAATGCATTTTTTTCTCAGTTGGTTTATCAAAATGCATCTAATTAGTTTTGACCTTCACTGAAGAACTACAGCTACATTTCTTCTAATTTCATTTTATTATCGGGAGGAAACAATCCTGTGTAGATCAGAGACACAGCTTTATTAGTGCTTTATTAAATGAAATACACACAACCTCTTTGCACAACCTCTTTAGCTTGTATGTTTGTTTCATAGGTTTTTATACCAGGCGATGACTGCTTAAATGTTTCCCACAATGCAACAGAATTGAACAACCTGAATCTCTACACTGTCCCGGTAAGCTTTACCGTTATAAATGACATTTACATGAGCGTTGATGTGATATTGATCATAAGTTAATGTGTCTCTGCAGTATTATCTGTACTGCTGTCTGTTGGCGATGCTGGGTGTGATGGTGTTCGTGCGTGTGTGTGTGTCTGTGAAAGTCTTCCTCCTGACGCTAGCGCTAGTGGTTTATCTAGCGCTCTTCTTGCACGTGTATGCGCCGCGCTCCGACTGCTACGTCAAACAGCTCTACAACGACAGCCCGTAAGACACTAACACACACCTTTCTGTTTTGTTTTTAACTTTTGACATAATACAGTTGTACTGTAAAATACCTAAATGAATGTATATTTAAAATTATATAATTTACAATGATTTTTACTTTTATTTGGATATGTTTTTGGATATGTATTCTATTATTATAATTATATATTCTATTATTATAAATTATATTATACAATTTGATATATAATATATAATAATGATGATACTGTATAATTCTAATAATTACATCCTTTAACAATAACTCTTATTTATTTATTTATTTATCAATTGTAATTCTTATAACAGTAATAAAAATGAAAACTAGTATTATTGTTGTTTAACTATAATAAAATAAGGCAGAAATATTACTATTGTAATAATACAGTTGAACTGTAATAAAAATCAATGTGTATTAAAAATTATAACAATTTACATTGATTTTAATTTAATTTTGTTTAAATTGTTGTTATATTATTATTCTATTTTGACATTTAATATAATAATTATCATACTGTATAATAATGAAATAAAATAACAATAATGATAATTATTTTTTATTTATCAATAGAAATTCTTATAACAGTAATAATAGTAAAAACTTGTTTAACTATAATGAAATATTACTATTGTAATAAAAAGTAAATGTTAAAATTATAATCAAATAATGAATCACAATCAGTCGCACGAATTTTAGCATAAACAATCATAAGTTTAGTTTAGAATGTGTTTGTGATTGAAACCAAATAGTCAAAGAAAAATATGTAGGCGGGACTTAAATTATTCATGACAAGTTTGATTGAGTGGTGTAAATTAAAATGTCTCTATTACAGGCGGTTGAAAAATGTCAAAGATTAGTGATGTCAGAATATTAATATATTTTGATGAAGGATTATGAACGCAAACATTATTTCTTTATCATAATGTCACTGATTAATCATTCGTAATATGAGCGGAAACAGGAAATAAGAAGGTAACCAGAGTCAATATTGATTTTGTGACGTTTGTGGGTCCATGTTCAGGTGTATTTTGCATTATAACTCTAAACTGTGTCCAGAAACACTGTGATTGTTGTGATTATTAATGATTATTGATTGTGATATCCTACGGTGTGTTGTAGACCGGGAGTTCTTAAGGAGCCCAAGATCATGTCCGGCATTTGGCTGGTCATTTTCTACTTGACTTCCCTTGTTCTTGTGCGACAGGTAAGAGTATGTGTGTGACTCAGTGTGTGAACACATATTTGGTTATGAGTCTATTTCAGTTTTAGTGTTGGGGAGTGTGTTGTATAACAGTAATCTACTAAATGACTAACTGTTTCCAGAAACTGTTTTGGTCTTTATATCCATCTCCTTCCTGTCAGGAATCATGTGTTTAAAGCAGAAGTAATCCTGTGTGTGTGTCACTGATGTTGTTCAGGACGAGCTGGGCTCTCGCACAGAGTTCCTGCTGGAGAAGTGTTTTATTAAGGAGACGGAGGAGATGGAGACGACCAAGAACGTGAACAGACTCCTCTTGCAGAATCTGCTGCCGGGACACGTCACCGAGTTCTTCATCGGCAAGGACGTCCCAAACCAGGTGACCCCCACACACACGGTCAGGTGTTCGTGATGAAGACCGCGAGCTCCACTGATGCCCTCTAGAGGCGCCAGAGTCCATTACACTCAATCTCCAGTGTCGGAATCGATAGACTCTTTTATCCAGTTAAAGTCTTTCAGTGTAATTATACAAGCGTCCTCTTTCAGCTCGAGTCTTTCTGTCAAATCTGCCTGATTTTATCAAGCAAACGCAACAATAACGTTGATATTGTTAGTAATAATTCAGCTGGACTTTTACATTTACATTTATTACAAAAATCACAAGTGTTAAATATGATCATCTGGCTTTTGAGGAAGGTTTATTTCTTCATCTCTCAATCGTCATTGTTGTGTTTGAAAACTACAGATCATCAAACAATGCATTTAAAAATGTCATCTTACTAAGACATATTGGCAGATATTGATATTTTCTACGCTGTTATAAAGATCGCATTACAAGCATCAGATGTTCATCTGACCGTTTGACCAAATTTCATATTTTTGCTCTGAATAAAATTAAGCTGTTTTTTCCTCCATATTCTCACTATATCAGAGCCATAAAAGCCTGATACATAAAATATGATACTCAACAAAAAAACATATGCAAACTTTTTTCTCTTATATTTTGTAAAGGTTTAAAAAATGGTTCAAATCATTACATTAAAGGAGTAGTTTTAAAAAAAAAAACTTTTGCTGATAATTTACTCACCCCCATGTCTTTCTTTCTTCAGTCGCAAAGAAATTAAGTTTTTTGATGAAAACATTTCAGGATTTTCTCCATATAATGGACTTCAATGGGGTCCAAACGGTTCAAAATCCAAAAGACAGTTTCAGTGCAAACTGTTCAAAGGGCTTTAAACGATTCCAGACGATGAATAAGGGTCTTATCAAGCGAAACGAGCGATCATTTAATAAATAAATAAGAAAGTTTAAGTTTTATAAGCTCAAATGCGCGTTCGTGACTCTCCTGTTCGAAATCTTTTTCCGAGTCAATTCGTTCATTTCGTTTAAAAACTTAAAACCTGGTGTTAACAGGGCTTATTTCTATGATGTGTCTGTGTGTGTTTTTCAGGACTTGTACAGCAAGTCGTGCGAGTGTGTGTGCGTCATGTTCGCGTCCGTGCCGCAGTTCTACAAAGAGTTTTACAACGAGAGCAGCGTCAACAACAACGGGCTGGAGTGTCTTCGCTTCCTCAACGAGATCATCTCTGACTTTGACGAGGTGAATCCCTCGTCGTCTGTCGGTGGTTTAATCTTACATACCTGTCTGATCATGTGTTCTCCTCTCACAGCTCCTTAACAAGCCAAAATTCAGCGCGGTAGAAAAGATCAAGACCATCGGGAGCACTTACATGGCGGCGGCCGGCCTGACCAATCCTGCCAAAAACGAGGAGCAACTAGTGAGTAGCGAGCGAATGATGTGTGTGTTTTGCCCCCTTTCACGTGATCTATGGCATGCCCAGAATGTGTGTGTGAAATATCAGCTCTAACTCTTTTATTATAGCTTGTCAAATGGGTGTGAGCAAAAACTTTTCGTTTGTGTGTGTCCCTTTAAATGCAAATGCGTCTGTTCAGAAGAGGGCGGGGCCTTTACACGAGAGTGTGGGATAGATGCACCCGATTATAGCACTTAGACACGGGAAAACTCATATTTTCATGATGTGTCGTCTTTTAAATCCACATGCATGAGTTTTCATCAGTGTTGTGCATCTACAGGCCTGCGACGTGTCGTACAATCACATCCGCAGCATGTTGGACTTCGCCATCGCTCTGATGGGGAAACTGGAAAACATCAACAGACACTCCTTCAACAGCTTCAAACTGAGGATCGGTAACACACGCTGCATTTTTATGACTTATACACATTATTTCAAGCTTCTGAATGATCAGATTGTTGTGTTTTGTCCAGGGATAAACCACGGGCCTGTGATCGCGGGCGTTATCGGCGCTCATAAACCTCAGTATGACATCTGGGGAAACACGGTCAACGTGGCCAGCCGAATGGACAGCACTGGAGTCCTGGATAAAATACAGGTGATGCATCTTTACACCTGTCGAAACATCAAAACATCAATCTCTTACATTAACCCTAGTGCATCAATTAAAAAAACTTGGACAAAAATGGGTTTCAATGGGGATATTTTTGTCCTGAAGGTCCCGAGAGGAACTATTTTAGCTCCACAATGCAAAATAGATTTTCTAAAGGAAATGGGGGTGAAATAGTAAAATTCCAATAAAAATACACACCTGGAGTTGGCACTGACGCAGGCAAATTATATAAAAAAAACCTGAAAAAGACAAAATTGTCCATAATTAGGATGCACAGGGATTAAAATGCCACGTTTTTGAAATAAAAAAGCTTGTTAAATTGGCCTTCATTTTTATGGGCTAAAATTCAAAATTCCAAAATATTCGCTTCCTCAATTATGGATCTGTACTCTACTACTATTCCTGCCATTCCCGGATGTGAAATGTTGAATTTTCTGTCGAACTTGTGGAAGCGAATTTGTAAAGTGAAATAAAATGGACCAAAAATTGCTAGTCGATTATATTATAGGTTGTGTTTTAAACATAATCAATGTTTTGGAAGTGAAATCTGAAAGGTGAATATGGACTATAGAATTTTTAATAATAAAAAATGTGTGTGAAATGTTTTGAGTTAGAAATATTCATAGCTTAAATCATGGTTAATGCATTGCATATTTTTTTTACAAGTAGTGCAATTCAACAAGCTTTTTTTGTTTTTAAAAAACATTTGGCATTATTTTACTTCCACAGATCTCTATAAGGTAAATAAATAAAAGCATATTTTGTTACCTGTTGGAACTTGGAAGGGTTCAGTTTGAGCAGATGCTTTCTCCCGCCATCGCTGGTCATCTGGTTTATATTCGCCATCTCAAACATATTCTCAAAACTATCGTTTTAACCGTCTTCAAAATCAATATTCTGATCCCTGACAACTTGCTCAGGTTTTGCTGAGGATATTCTTTTGCTTTATGCCTATAAATCTTATTGAGTCAATAGCGATTTAATTATAGTTGCGCAGAAAAAACAAACATTATTACATTCCTCGGGTCACTAGCGGCCCGATACACTTTTACAAAAAAAATTATTTGGCAACAGGTATTCTTTTATAATATTTTTTTTTTTATTTGTTTTTTGGGATGCACGATATATTGCCCACCATATCGTTATTGGCCCGATAAAAAAATTTGGCTGATGTATAATGTATTATTTCCTTCAGCTCAGATGCGCTCTGATGGGTCAACATGATGGGTTTGAATCGCTTGAAATATGATCAGAATCACTTAAAAACAGGAAAATACAGTAAAATAGTGCAAGTCTGTCATATCGGCTACATAAAATGATCATGAACATTATAATTGTGTGTTTGAGACGTGGATTTTAATGGTGAGACTTTTGTGTTTGTAATCAGGCTCTCAAAAATTATATAAAAATGTGGATTTAGGTATATCCGCCAATGTATCGGTTATCGGCTTTCAAATATAAAGAATTATCTGTTATCATATCGGCCTAAATTTTCATATCGGTGCATTCCTTATTTTTTCTTGCTTTTTTATGTACAACAAAAATAAAATAGAAAATGTGATAGCATTGTAATTCTCGAACCTACCTGACGCCATAAACACTCGTAATTACGAACTTCCCCAGAAGGACTTGAACTAAATTAATTGGTTAAATGAATAAGGAACTAAATCAGTGTGTTGTTTGTGGTCTTCAGGTGACGGAGGAAACCGCTCATGTGGCGCAAAATTTGGGCTTTGATGTCACTCTGAGAGGAGTGGTCAACGTCAAGGGCAAAGGTCAACTGACCACATACTTCATCGTCACGGAGCAAACGCTGAAGTCCTGACAACACGGACCACGTTCTCAGTGAAGGCTTGAAACATCAATCTCACACGTCATAGCTAAGCGAGTGTTCCACTAAGGTCCTTTACGGCAGGTGTTTTCACATCGGAGTGCGCAAAGGAGTGCCAGTGGGCCCTTAGAAAAGTTTACAGGAAAACAATGTCAATTTTTTTTTTTTTTTTTAAAGCAATAAAAAATGTTATTAATTAAATTAAAAAAATAAAAATAAGTGAAAAGTTGGATTAAAATAAATATACTGTGAATTTAACTAATTCAAGTAGCCTAAATGAAGGAAAATTAGAGTTAACTGTTTTTGTTGTTCTTTTTGGAGATGTTTTCTTTCTGATAATCTATTTTTTTAAATAATGTAAAGTGTAAATTCTATAAATTTCCAAAGGTGTTGAGTTTAGTTTTATATTGAGTATATGTATTTACTTTCACTTATGCACTTATTTATTAATGTTTGTTATTATGTATTTAAAATGTTGTATGTTCAATTTATGTGAAAAGTGTATATAAACATTTTCATAAAAAACAGCTCTTTGTTGTGTTTAAACTTTAACGTTATAACCATCCACGTGATTGTCACTGAGCTGACTAGAAAATGACTTTAAAGGTGATACTTACAAAATAAAAATAAAAAAATAAAAATTCTTTTATAATTGATAAGAGGAATTTTATGAAAGCCCATAAGGACCAAAAAACATGCTTTGGTAAATCTAAATTATGACATAAAATGTCAAAATTATGTTGTTGGTTTTTTTTCAATTTTGACATAAAAAGTCAAAATTATAACATACTAAATCGAAATCATGACATAAAAAGCCGACATTATTACAATTTATGATAATTATTAACTTTTAATCTGATAAATTGTGACGTTGTAAGTCATTACGACTTTATGTCATTAGGATTTACAAAAGCAAGATTTTTCAAGATTTTTTTTTTCTTATATGGCAGAAATGGCCTTTCATCATGGTATTTGCATTTCATAACTTAAATCATTATCATCTTAACTATGATCTAAAAAATTATATCTCTTTTCTGCGTTCACTTCCAAAACGTTTGGATTGCCTGAGAATTGCTACTCGGTCATAAAACTTCTAAGAAAAAAATCACCAGAAAAAACTTTGGAGACTGAAATAATGAGCTGCGAGGAAATACACAGTCTATGTAAACCAAAAAGTTGAAAACTATTAAATTCTTTCCTGCTATCTCATCTCTTCCCATGGTTAACATCTTTAATATATCATTTCACAAGCTATTGGCATGGCCTGAGATAATAGTGTATTTACCGGTATTTACCGGCGTCGAATTCTCGGAAGATGAAGAAAATATCCGTCAGATAAAGAAAAAGTAATTTCTTCACCATAATACAAACCGCCACCGTGGAATTTCCCTCAGAACGAAGCCCCGCCCATCGTTCGTTGCCCAATCGCTTCTTCAATCCGATTGGTCCACACAGCTGTCCATCATCTCGCTTCCTGCTTTGGTGAAAGTGAAGCATTATTGTTTTTTCGGAGCGATAAAGTGTAGCACTTTAAACAGAGGTGATGACTTTGTCGGTAAGTTAGCGTTTGTCGTCTGTTTCAGTATGTTTAAAATTAAAACGATGTTAACATATCGTCAGGTGTGTTTAAACAGGTTTAATAAGAGGAAATAATGTTTTGGTTCACTTTGCACGTAGTTTTGTCCTGTATTTAATGAAAAGCGATTCGATTCAAAGTTTGTTTTTATGGTCGATTGGCACTACTTTATTCAGTTTGGCAAATTAAACGTGTTCTGTGATGGAAACGATTTAAATGCTATTACTCGTGTTTCGTGCACGCGCAGGTTCGGGGGTGTTCACATCACAATGTCCGGCGACGCGCATCACAGTAGGAGGCCACGCCCCCCCAAAATGTACATGGTCGCGTCCGACTATCGAGTGCAGGACCAGCTGGAAGGAACCATTCGCCTGCAGCGGGGGCAGCTGTGTGTGGAGCAGGAGGGAGGAGGACACAGGGGTGGAAGAGGATACCTGTGGGTGAAGGTAAGAGCAATGTGTGTTGGAGGCCTGATAAAATAAAAATAATTATTTGCGACTTTTATTTCACGAATTTGACTTTTTGTTCCCACTGCATTTGCGAGTTTGTATCTCACAATTGGGACTATTTTTCCTCAGTTGTAAACTTATTGTGAGTTTGCTTTCTAACAGAAACTTTGAGATTTTTTTTCTCATTTACATCTGTTTATATATATATATATATATATAAAGTTAATTGCATTTTATGTCACAATTATCCATTTTTTTTCCTTGGAATTCTGAGCTCACTAAAAAAAAAAAAAGTTAATTACGACTTTTTTACCTCACGATTAAAAAAAAATCACAGAATTGCGATTTCTCGCAAATGCAAGTTATAAACTCAAGTTTATATTTCTGACTCTCAGATGCATGAGTGTACATTATCTGTTGTTGTTGTTGTTAATAAAATAGGTAATTGCAACTTTATCTTGCAATTCTGACTTTTTTCTTGGAGTTTGCATAAAAAAAGTTAAAAAGGTAATTGTGACTCTCAATTATTATATTTTTCGCTGAATTTAAAGTTAACATCTCGCAATTCTGACTTTATTTCTTTAATTCTGAGAACATGTTTTTGTATCAGCTCTGTTTTTTCTATTGAGTTTACATCTCGATATATTTTTTCCATCACAGAATTAAAAAAAAAAAGATTTATTTGTATAGAGCTTTTCACAACACACATCCTTACACAGCAGCTTTACAGGAAGTGCTCGAGTCCACATTACAGTGTACCGCGATCTCTTATCTTTTAAAAAAAAAAGACTGAAATCAGAGAAAAACAGTCAACCTGTGAGGTAAAAGTTCGCCCACGCTTGACGTGTGTTCTCGAGTCAGGAGCAGTGTGTATCTGTCACGATCTGCTCAACTCATCTGGTGGTGTCACGTGTGTCTGACCTCAAAGTGTGTGTGTGTGTGGCAGGTGATTGACAGCGGGTGTGTGGTGAAGGTGGAGCGTGAGGTGCTCAGTGAAGTGTCCCGTGAGCTCGCTGGTCTCCTGGAGCCGGTCCCGGAGCTGGATGTGCGAGTGAAGCTGCTGTCTCGGCCCCAGGCCCTGCACCGGTTCCTCTCGCTGCCGCTGGGGTCCGAGCTCAGGGTCTCCTGGAGCCACAGCCAATCAGAGCTCGCCGAGGCCCAGCTGCGGTACCGCGGGCCCCTGACCCGAGGAAGCTCCGCCGTGTACTTCGGGGTCGAGCTCAAGGCAAGTCCGAATGTCACACGCCAACAATATACTGCGATAAATAAATGAATGATTGAATATACCGTATACACACACACAATGAAAAATGCTTTATAAAAGCTCTTATTAAATATGTTTTCCATATCTGTCCGCTGGTTGTGTGTTTCTCTCGGACGGGCTTAAAGGGTACATATCATGCTTTTAAATCATTCATTTTTACATATAAATCATAGCGTTGTGGTCTATATAAATCATAACTGCAATGCTTGGGTCTGAATTCCTCATTATTAAAGCTCCACAAGCCCCTTTTCTGATGTGCGTCTGTGAGCGACCCGTTTCAAAGCGGCCCCTTTAAATAAAAAGGAGATGCGTCACACCCCGCCCGCTCTCCAGGTCCATGAGTTCAACTCCACACGTTCGGCCATTATTGTAGTTTGATTAGAGATATACGATTATATACGATACCTTCAAAGAACATTTTTATTCACTCGTTAATAACAGAAGACTTGTCCATCAAGCCTTACATATTCCAGCCAGAGCGAGCGAGTCGATAAAGACGACGACGAACCTGCAGATCAACCTCTTCATCATATGGATGTATTGGTATGTGAGTTAACTGTTGTGTGTTATTAGTGAAAGTCGACTATTTCTCTTGTTAAAACAAGCACACTGACAAGATAAATGACTACGGTCTAATCTTACCACAAACAATCTGTATTGATAATATGATGCGTTTAGAAAAGCAGCTAAATGAGCATTGATGAAACTCAAGAACAATAATACTGCAGACGTGTAACGTTACTTCAACACAAAAACAAAGAAAGACAAAGGTACTGCTAAACCATGACCACCATGTGTTTGAAGAAAGTAAAGTACTTAGTAAAGTACCAAGTACTCAAAATGCTCTGTTCGTCGTCTTGTGTTCGATTCAGACGAAGTCGATCGGCGAACCCTTCTGTATAACGTTACTGGCGGAGGCTGTTGAAGTGCTTCAGGTCACTAACGTACATCCAACAACCGAACATTAAGACTTGCCCTCTCGTAACTTCTGCATCATTGAGCTCGGACTACAAAATCGGAGCGAGAAATAATAATGGCGGATTGCTGGAAGTGTTGGGCCGGTAGTCGATGTCCTTATTCGTCAGTTCCGCTGCAAATACGGTGACGCACTTGCTCAAAAAACGTCATAGACAACAGAAAAATCTGAACAGGTTGAAAAATATGACCAAAACAGAATATAAAGATATAAACGAAGCACCTGAAGAGAATAATTTCATCTTTTCTGTACTTATAAACACTCCAAATATATAACAAAATGCATTTAAGGGCTAAAAAAGTGGATTTTGCATGATATGTCCCCTTTAGTAAACATGTCTCTGTGTGTGTGTCTCAGGGATGGGCCGCAGGTCGGGGGAAGTGTAACGGCATCTATAAAGGTCGTCAGCTGTTCGTGTGTCCCGACGGCTGTGGGCTGTTCCTGCCGGTCAGTGAGATCAGCCTCCCTCGATCCTCTCGCTCCTCCAGCGACCCGCTGAGCGTCCAGTCCCGATCCGCAGAGTGTGTGTCCCCGCTCGCCGTCGGCCAGAGAGTGTGTTTCCCGCAGGACGAGTGTGTGCAGCGCGGGACCGTGCAGTTCTGCGGACCCCTGTCCAGCCGGGCCTCCAGCACCCTTTATGTGGGAGTGTTACTGGTGAGCGTTCGTCAGGTGTAGAGTTCAGTGATAGAAAGTCAAGTCACCTTCATTTATAAAGCACTTTTAACAATATCGACTGTTTCACATCAGCTTTACTGTGATAATGAGACATTAAAGTAACAGATTGTTTTGGCTTTACAGCAGCTCTAAAATAAAGTTATTGTCCAGATAAAGTTACTTTTTGATTGATTCACTTCCGTTGCAAAGATCATTAGTTATTAAAGGGATGGCTCACTTTGAAATTAATT